CAGCTGGAGGTGCAGGATGAGGGCGTCCTCTGAGGGAACTTCATTCTCACCTACGATGAAAATAATGCAGAGTGAAGGACGGGATCAGACTCAGTGTTAAACACCGCAGTGGAGGAAGTGATTAAATGAGATTAAGTCTGATTCAGAAGTCAGATTTCAGCAAACTGCTGGCACGAAGTGTGAACACCCAGTGACCCCAGTTACTCAGCCCAGCCGTGGCAAGTGTACTGAAAGTTTCCTATATGGATCAACATCAAAGCACTCTAAATTTTCTGGACAATTGACTGTGAGACATTCTTCCAGTTCAGCTACTCTTGCCGCTCTGCAGATCATATTTTTGGTCTGAAGGTCAAAGTCGTCCTCTGCTCTCAGACCTTAATCCCCTTGTGCTGACCACAGGTGGGAAAAAGGGGGTTTAAAGTCAATAAAGACTAAATGTGCATGTGGTGAGACTGGAGCACAGTGCAATATATGGCATTTGAAAGAAGTGGGATAGAGCAGCTTATAAAGACAACTGTTAACATTTTAGATGACACTGATGATGAAGATAGCAGACCTGGCTTGATGTCACATGTGAGCTGCACACCCAGAGGCGCGCCGCCAAGTTCCGACGAAGGATATCCAAACTCCGGAAAATCTCCCAGAAACTGCGCGGCTCTGTCGGACAGATGGACAGGAGGAAGCTGGCTGGCGGCGGAGGAGACGCTCTCCTCTGAACCGGCCAGACATCCCTCACCCACACAGGACTTTGCTCGAGCTTTTGGTCGCACCCTCAGGGGCAGTCTGCACTCGATCCCTCTACAGTCTCGGGTGTCATTTGTGGGCTGAAATTGTTTCACAAGAGCAGCGCAGTCCGCATCGGTGCATCCTGCAGGTAAAACTTCAGGCGCTCTCACCCGCGCGCCGCCGCTGCTGCCGCTGTCGCTGTCGCTGCCGCTGCTGTGCCGCCCGCGGAGCGGCTGCACGGCCGGATAGGCTTCCGACGCAGCTCTTGGAGAGCCCGGGTACGCGTGGTTTTGGCCGCCAGCTCCCTGCACCGCTCTCCCCTGCGTGTTCGGGTTAAACTGCCTCGGCGGTCTGGAGGATCTGCCCCCAGGACAGTGCGCTCCGGTGCACGGTCTTGGATCGCCGGTTTCCCCGCCGTAGCAGTGCGTCCCCCGGCAAATCTCTGCGACAGCTTGCGCGGTGTTGTGCAGTGATACCGAAGAGAGCAGCAGCAACATCACTGATGTCAGTAAAACCATTTTTGCATCAGTTTTTTTTTTTTAAACCTGTAAAAAAAGAAGAAAATGCGAGTTCAGCTTTAGATTCTCAAATGGAAAAAGAAAAATATGGAAAAATCTTTGAAAAGATCCAAAAAAACTGCTTAAGGATTCAAGTTGAGAAAAACCATCTATTGTCTCCTGTGTCACAACTGAAAACAAACTTTATCACACTTGACACAGAGAGTCTAGATCAGCAGCCCCTCACAGAACATCAGCCCCGGGGGTTTTGGTGAGACTGACTCTCCCGACTGTCAGTTAGGAATAAAAACATTAGACACACGCATTACTGCTGGCTCTCTCCATGCCTGACCCACTCTGAGGGCTTCCGCACTACAATGTCAGTATGTGGCATTCCAAAGACTTAATTAGCATCAGGTTTCCCCGGCCACAAATTAACCCTTCACCTTCCCTGTTCTCCGCACAGGAATTCCCTATAAGAAACATTTTCTAAATCTAAGTGTTTCTTCTGTTTTCATGTTAAAAAAAAAAACAAAGTGGAAATTTTAATCTGTGTATTACCAAAAATGATTGTTCTCCTCCCTTGTCGTCTTTTTCCTGGTGACTGTCACTTTTCATTTCACTCACTGTTGGCTTTTCCTTTGACCCTGTGACCATCCAAGTTGCAAAAAAAAAAAAAAAGTGGCAGTGAGTTTTTTGTTTAGCGCAGTGTGGATGTTGAGACAGCTGCTGGCTCTCAACTCCCGGCGTTCTCCACGTTATACTGGCCTTGTCAACACCGAGCGCTCCCCTTTATAGACAAAGCCAACAGAGGTCAAGCTGTTGTTGAAGAGACCTATGGTGGAAGTCAGGAATGTGAAACCCACAGCTGGTTTTTTTTTTTTTTTTTTGGAAACCTCTCCTTTACTCTCGTTTTTAGTGCTTCTGCATAACCGCACATCCAGCGGGAGGTTATCCGAGGCTGATGTTTGTAGCTTGGCAGATTCTGGTGTCGTTTTCTGTTTGATTATTTCAAGGTCAGGCAGGTACGGAGGTCGGTTACTGCCACGTAAAAAGAAGAAAGATGAGAGAAGAGAGATGAAACACTTTAAATGATGACAATGAAAATACAAGATTTTGACTCATCAAAATTCATACTTAGTATCTTGTAATTTTGACTCACTATGTCAAACTTTTGATATAATTGAATCTTGATTTACCCTAATAATTTTTTTCATCTCATTCTGACTTATTCTCTCACAATTTTTGTAATTTAGTATGTCATATGTCAAGATTTTGAATTATCTCATATTTTTGAAGCATTTATCTCCATAATAGTTTTGAATTAGTATCACATACCTGAGATATAGTGTCTCATACTTGACTATTTTCTCATAAATTTGATGTATTATCTCATTTTTAATTTAGTATCTCATTAGTCAAGATTTTTTACTTATCTCATAATTTTGATTTAGAATCTTATAAAGTATATCTCATTTTTTATCTCATAATTTTGACCCTGTGAGTCAAATTTGTATGTATTTATGATATTTGCTTTTACCAATTATCATTATCACTCTTGGACTTATTCTTGCATGGATTTATCATCTCATAAATTGCACTAATGATCTCATCATTTTTTTTTGTTATTATTAAGTCTTGACTTGTCATTTTCTCTAAGCATGTCATGATTGATTATTCTCCTAGTTTTGATTTACGCAGTATCTCATAAGTGGGACTCATAAGTTTTGTTTATTATCACTGTCACTCATTATTTCCACTTACCATGAGTTCTTTATTTTATTTTTTTCTTACCAGTTTTCATCCAATTTTCTCTTTTCCTGGCAGACATGAGCTTCCACATTGAGCCGAGTTTGACTCATATTAATGAAAACAAACCTCAAGTTTCCTTGTTTGTTGGATTGTTGTTGGCAAACAAGTCCGGCCGGGGAGAGCAGTGAGGGACTCACTGGAACCCAAATCAGTTGCATACATACAAAAACACGCGGCTAATTGGCAGTTACTCTACTGGCGTAAACTCGCCGTGTGGATTATTGCACCACAAAGAAATAAGCAGTGCAGGCTGGTAGCATAAACTGCTCCACACCACCCACTGAGTTCAATAGCGTTTGTACATGTACAGTACAGCAGAGAACAAACAGAGGGCACTGCAACACTCCTGTAGTATACATCACTTTTCACATCATCATAGTGACAGTTTGTCCTCTGCAGTATTATATTTAACAAACGCTCTATATCGTTTTGCAAGGTGTCCACTGGTTTTGTCATTATCACCCCATTTTCTTTTAGGGCCGAAGCCCAAGAAATGTATTCAGAGGTGTGTTGGAGCACTCAGATGTAACATGACAGAGAATAATGGTTTAAAAATGTGCCCTCTGTTGTGTGTCACACCTTACCATCTGGGCTTTTGTAATTCTTCGAAACCAACAGACTGCTCTTTGTTTTGCAACCAGTTCCTATATCCTTTATTTGTCGTGCATAATATTTGATATGCTTACTAAAAAATCACAGTTTCTTGACTCTGTGCTGTGATGTACGAGCACGTCAAAAACCGTTATCAGTATCTGCTCTGCTGGACCACCCTCAGTGCCTAACGAGTGACATGGCAGAAAAAAAAAATCACCCCACGCTCTGCTGCCGAGCTCCACAACCGTTAATCAGTGTATTTATTTGAGTGCTCGTGTTTGGGAGATGCTTGGAGCTAACGGGAGGCTGCGCCTTTGGTGTCCATCTGTTTGTCAACCCCTGAGAGAGGGAGGAAATGAGGGTGGTTGGGACACATGCCTGTACCCCGAGTGTTTGTTTAATACATCACGAGTCATGAAAGGCTCTTGAGCGCGTTCAAGGTTATTTGGTTTCTCCCCGTGGTGCTCGGCTTCACCGTTTGATGACAGGATTTTGCCACAGAGAGGGTGGTCTGCCTTTCCCATTGGAGCTGGGGCGAGACTTGAGGGGAAAATAGGACACAGAAGTGCTAATAATAGAGAAATAATGCTAATATTTTCCTCAAATTAGGGGAAGTTGTTTTTTTAAGCTTAATTTTGCATCATGATGCTCATTTCTCACCTTCCTTTGACCTCTGTTTCCTAATATTTTGACACGTCTTCCGTTGAGCTGCATGCACAATCCCTGCGAGCTAAAAAGAGATTAAAAGAAAGATGTGAAATCTTGTCTTTTGGCCTCCCAGGTTGACTCAAGGAGAAATGCAAATAAATAGAGCTATCTGTGTCTGCATGGTCAGATAAGAGCCAGAGGCTATTCATACCTTGACAGCTTGACTCTCCTTGGTCGCCCCCCCCCCGAAGATAAATGACCTTATTGCACCACACCAGTGTCTTAAGATACTCCTTCCTGATTTTAAGCAGAGAAAAAGGGGAAAAAGAAAAAGGTTGAATGTATATGAAAGCATGAGTTGGTGTCCTGCCACATTACCACTCCTGTCTAAAGACCTGCTGTAAATCACTTTCAGTGAGGTGAATTATTAACCGAGACACGTCACATTCCTTGCGCTGATTCAGCCGTTCTGTCGATCCCACCAAAACTTTTTATGTTCTTTTTCTTTTCTTTTTTTTTCTTTCTCCGCGAACGTCATCATCTGGTTGTCAGTCACCACCACAGTCTGGACTGGAAGTCACAGCATGACTTTGACTATTCTTGAGTAGTTGAAGCTTTGAAACAGTTGCAGTGCAGATAAGGAGCCCTGTCCAAAGGTTGGAGGCAGGGAGGTGGGGGTGGGGGGGGGTGGCCCAGTGCTGCCTAGACAAGACTGTTGTGAATGTGTGTTGCGCTCTGAGCAGGAATGCTATAGCAGGTCTAGACCTGAACTTCCGCATTAAGTAGAAGGAAGTCAACAGTAAGAGGGCCAGATGCAATCCACATCAGCATACCCAAATCTGCATGCATATGACTGACTTTTGCTGTTGAGCTTTATTGGAGAATAACATTTTTAAGGGGAACTGATGTCTGTGAAGCGGCTACCTTGAAACTAACTGGTGAAACGAGGATTAAAACATTAGGAAAAAGGTGAGTTTCAGCCTTCTGCTACATTGGATGTTGTACCTTCAGTTAACGGTCAACACCCATGGCTGCTTTACTCAGAGTGTACACACGACTTTGACTTCTCTTTGTAGTTTCAGTTAGATGATGGCGCTGTTTTTTTGTGAACCGGTCGCAGCAGATTGCCTTGAGCTAGACACTGTTCATAACACAGACTGAAAATCTTCCTGTCAGATTTTGTGATTTAAAGCCTCCTTTGTGATGCCGACTTTGTCACATTATGTTAAAACAGGACAAAAGAAATTGCACAAAACTGTCACTGTCACCTCAGCTCTGTCTGTTCTCATGAGATAAGGCTTAATTAGTTTGCTGTAAGACAGTCATTAGGCGTATTTTAATATGAGTGTTAGTGAGTGCTATGAGTGTTAGTTGTCTGCTTTCCAACTGGGTGTACCCCGCCATAATGTCAGACTGCTGCATGACTCAATAACCACACGAAAACCGATAGGGTTGGCCACGTATTGTCAAGCTAATTGTGCCGTCAGTTTGTCGCTGATTATAGGAACATTTTGCACATTTGGCTTTTAGAGATGAGATTAAATCATAGAAAAATGGACTTAATTACGTATATAATGTGTCATGTAACATGTGCACTTGAAATGATGGAAACCATTTAGGTGTTGTCAAGGAAGAAAACACTGCGTTATAGGTTAATACTGACTGTAGAATGACTCACGGGGATTTTGTGATATACACAACCCCTCCTCAGCAAACATAGATTTGATCTTGTGTATTAAATTTGTGGTTTTTATGCCCTCCAGCAACCCCCTAATTTGCCTACTTCATAGTAGAGTATCCAGTTCTGTAAACACATCTGCATAAAACCAAAGTATAGATTTGATCAAACTAAGAGAAGGAGTTGCTGTACATCATGGTAAACACGCTGTGCTTCGATACGGCGAATCACAGTTGTTGTCTGGTTTCCATTTTCCTGCCTGAAGCTTGAGTTACACATGTGCAGACTTATAAAAAAAAAGAAAGGCTGAGACATATATTTGAGATTAGTCACTTGCATGCTATATTTTTAGTGTTTTATTTCAGTGAATACCAGTGCAGTGGTATTCACCGAAGCACAGTAAAGTTGTGTTTTCACAATGCATTGTGCGAGTTTTGGAGGGTTGCTAGATTTCTATGCACGAGTGTTTCCAATAATTTTTACGAGGGCTGACAAATCACATATTTTTCAGAGTGGTTTCTGGAAAGAAAACAGAAATGGTGTCAAAAAAGGCAGCAACATCCTTTTACGATAGTATTCCTTCATTCAAAGCGATATGAATATGACTCAGAGGTTTAATGAACTTGTCACACAGTAAATGCACTCATCGAGAGAAACATGTAGACACACGTGTGATTAAAATGGAAAACTGAGCTCACTTCACAGCACTTTATTACATCATCATCGTTTTATTCATGTTTTTTTTTTAAAGGTGTGGTTGGACATTTGGAGAAAAATACACTTATTCGCTTTCTTGCTGAGAGTTTGATGAGAAGATGAGATAAGAAGCTGCAGCAAGCCAGCCGGTTAGCTTAGCTTAGCATAAAGACTGGAAGCTGGGGGAAACAGCTAGCCTGGCCCTGTCCAAAGTTAACAAAATCCACACACCAGCATCACTAAAGGGACTACGTAATGAGTTTCATCCCATTAACTGAAGGTGGATTGTGTTACCTTGGGACAGAGCTTTGCTAGCTGTTTCCAGCCTTTTACGCTAAGCTAATATGACCACCTACTGGCTGTAGCTTCATATTTGATAGACAGACATAAACGTATTCTCCATCCAACTCTGAAAAATGAAACAAATCAGCTTATTTCCCAACATATCAACCTATTCCTTTAAGTATACTCATGGGCTGTAATGACCATCAGTCTAATATGGTTATAATGACACCGCCCTGAGGTTAACGCCTTTCGTGTGGTTGTTCTGTGTTTTATTTGCAAATGTCACAGCTTACAAATGAGGTAATTGTACTTTCTAAGTTTAATGTTTGGACCACATGACATTTGATTATCTATTGATGCACCATACTATATATAAACCTCAGCCTCCATTAGCAGATGCTTCCTTGCTCGTTTGTTTTTAAGATCTGACCAAATGCAACCACTCCTCCTCTCTGACTTCTCTTCACTACATGAGAGTTGAAATCCATTTAACAGCAGCTGGCAGGATCGACTTGACTGATAACAGTCATTTCTTCGCCCCTGTGTGACTTGTGAAAATGGCATCAGGCGCTCTCGCGTTGACATGCGCCATGTGGTCGTTCGCGAGCAAAAAGCTGACGTGGACCACAGTCACACTCTGCTTGTTCAGAGTGAGAGCGTTTGTGTTGCGGTTGTCATAGCACAATATAAGATGTGACACCACAGAAAGAAGAGACAAAAACTAACTGAGGGACTGAACATAATTAATAATATTAGAGATTTTGAGAGATGAGAACGTGTGATTAAATGTTTTTTTTAGGTTGTAAATATTCACTCTTTATGTTTTGTTTAGCCATTATAGAGAATATCATATTGATAAACCACAAACTGAATTTGAAAATTAGGTTTTCAGACTATTAAAATGTGACAATATCAGTAAGTTAACAGTTACATTAAGTTTGTGGGTGGATCGTGTCACCATTTCCTACACAGTGTCGACATAGCAATTGGCAGGAAGCTTTACCACTTCCTCAACAGGGCAAATCATTTGTGTAAAGGGGTGGAGGGAGTGGGGCCCCACTATCTCACAACAGTTGGAAAGACCCACACATACATGTCACATGGAAATTATGGTTTGAAAAAAAAAAAAAAAAAATCAGTCAAGATGCAGAATGATTGTGTAATACCATCACTCCAAGCAGACGTTTTGCAAGTTTTTGTCTACGGCCTTTTGCAGTTGATCTGCAGAATCACAGGGTGGCTTGTACAGTTTCTCATAAGCTTCCAACCATACACCATCTGTTAGATGTTGGAACAATATCGATCCATTTCACATTCACAATGAGAAACATCGTGTCACAGCGCTGCGTGAACTCTCGCCTGGAACACAATCAGTCACACTTGTCTCCTCAGCAGTGAGATTGAGGGGTTTGCCTTCGTGGTGTCTTGCAAATGTTTTTCCTCCTTCTCCTTTCGCTGGATCTTAATGTTTACTGAACTGCGAGTTACACTTTGTTAAAGATAATATTCTCTTATATCTAATGTGCCACAGCAGCAAAAACAAATCTAGGTTAGTGGCTGACAGTACAGAAAAAGTGAGGACTATAAAAAAAACAATATCTCATGAGTGAGTAGTAGAGACGAGGTCACAGATCGTTACCATGACCTAACCACACCAGACTTTTACTCGACCACAGCTGTTTATAATACTAACCTGAACACAACTGTATTTAACATTATTAGCATTTCAAATTACACTCCACAACCCGACCCTCCCAGTTTTGCATTACAATTATGGCGCTCGTGTGTCTTATGTATTGCAATTCGAATTGCGATAGACCAACAGACATTACGTCACCGCAGTGCATTGTGGTGGCGGGAAAAACAACGGACGCAAAGATGAACTTCTTCTTCATAAAACGCCCTTTAAGGAAGAGCATTAAACGGACAGACTGGACTGATGAAACCTCCACTGTTTATCACACAAAAAGGCAAAATCAGCGATCAATAATCCATCCACCAATTATTCAGATATTTCAGTCTGACTACACAGAGAGTAAAATGAAACACTAAAGTATATGGTTTAGATATTGTAAGATCTCCTCATCTGCAAATGACTTCATCATTCCAAGAGTTAATTAATTTTTATTGATGGCGTGGCTAAAAAAGTAAGTCAGTGAAGCTCATTAACAGCCACAGACCCACATGTAGAAGGTTGAACTTTAACGTTCACCAGCAGCTGTCTTTCTATCTACTATTCGGCGTGGTTTTGGTGGTGACCCGGCTCACAGTTGGCTGGCCCATCTGTTTTTAGAGCAGCTGTACTTCCTCCTCAGGTTGTTGCACATTTACCTGCTCGGTCACAGTGGAACGCAGTGTTTAGACCCACCTTCACATTTCTACAGGAGGTAGATGAGCGGGGTGCATGCACACTGGTGCACCACACCATTGTTGATGTTAATACCTCATGTGCGCCCCGCTGTGACTGAATGAACTCCCGCTCACACCCTCACCGAAGCCCATGTTTCTGACTACTGGGTATGTTCCACTGTAAGAAAACAGGGGCTCTGTTTTGACTGCACATTCAAGCCCATGATAACATTTGCTTTGAGAAATGAGGCTTCAAATGATACATGAGAGACAGCTTGATGTACATAATTACACTTGGAAATCTCCAGTGAATCCTCTGGAGTTGTTTGCACAGCTACTATAGTAGTCCCTCAGGCTGTTGTGCTGCTAAACCCGAAACAATGAACCTTGATGATTCTGACATTTGACTCCATATGTCCAGGGCCAAACTATATTAAACTGCAGTATGCATACTTTAAACAGTCAGTGGTTTCGTTTTCAGGGATAAATTCAATAAGTTCGTATTGTAATATATAATGACAAACACTGTCCCGCAGCGTGAGTGTGTGGTTTCAACACATAATGGTCTTTAATGACAATATAGGAGTGAATGAATGGCTTAAAATGAACTGCAACTTGTAAAGAGGCCCGTGTGTTCGAAAGAAGGAGGGTTGGAAGATTAAGTTTGATTAAGATAACCTTTATCTCAGTAAACACTACTAATGTCAATAATAAAGTAAATTTTACTTCTGAAGCTGACAGAAAATGCAAAAATGAAATAACATTGCACCTTCCAGTGAAATATGAGTAACAAGATACAACAAGTTCTGGCAAAAAAAAAAGATGCCTGGGAGTTCAGCATACATAGTTTTCTTCCTCCAGTCTGGGTTGAAGATGTTTTGCAAGATAGCGCAGCCTCAGGGAACATATTACAACCACAATGATTTCAAAAGTAGCAGCACTGCGTCTCACCACAGCCTGTGTAACACGCCGTGTGTGTTCAACATTTGTGTCTCCATGCAAATGGATTTACCTTTTCATTCCACACATTCCTTGGCCGTCATTCGTCATGACAACCATACCCAATCAATGAAAATTCTTCAGTGCCCTGTAGCGCCGATCAATACGGCTCTAATCGATACACCTGGCACTCCTGGCGGTGGGACGGGTTTTTGTTTCATGGGGGAATAATTTAAAGTCTGATCTTGGAGCTTCTTGACTTTTCTTGTTTTTTTGCTTTCACCAGATGGACGACATTGACGCAATGTTCAGTGACCTGCTGGGGGAGATGGACCTCCTCACACAGGTAAGATCAACCAGTTGTCATGGCAACTATAGAAGAGAAAGTCATAGGACTGGTCACACAGTTTTTTTTATTCCAGCGCTTTACTCTTACATCTTACAACTGGCTTCTTATCATTTGTTTCATTTTTTAAATTTTTTTTTTTTATTGTTCTTAATAAGTAAAGGGCAGGATATAAAATGTCATAAAAAACAATTGAAAGGGGAGTGAATCATAGAGAGTGGGTGGTTTTCTGGTGGAGTTCTGTTTTGACAGAGCAAACATTCACTTTTTGGTTTCACTTCATGTCGAGTGCATCAGATGCTCTTTGTTTTAACAAGAGACAAACACATCTTTCATGCGACACATGCACAGTTACCCGTTTTCTCCGGACTTCTCAGGGTTAATTCTTTCTCTTCTTCAATAGACTTCTCTTCCTTAAAGACAGATGACAAACTCGCTAAAGCCCACCATCGATCACCGAGACACTCTAGACTGGCAAGCACAACAGACACAGCGGGGGGGAGACACTCTTTGTGGTCATCTAACAACCATAAATTACACTTTCTTTTAGAAGGGAGGTCAAATGGCAAACTTATGAGCCAGCTAGAGATTAGACTTTTTTTTTTCTGAGTGAAAAGTCCTGCTGATCACTTTGATGTTGTTTTTCAGCCCACCAGTCATTTTAAATCACTTCCATCTCCCCGGGGTGAAGGCGGGGGGCTTAATATTACACATAGAAGCCCTGTTAGGTGTAGTACCTAAAAACAGATGTAACATTAAATGTGTAAACACTATACTTTCTTACATAATGTTTGGGGACAGTTTATGTTTCAGTGCACTCAGAATGTGTTGTGGATTAACTCACCGAGCCTCTGGGGGTCCTGTGGCTGCACAGATATTGTATTCATGCTCTTATAAACACACCGCCTTGTTCATTTTTCCCTGCAGAGTCTCGGAGAGGAAACGGTACCGCCTGAATCTCTCCCCGCCGCCAACCAGGAAGTCAACTTCTCCATCGGCTTCACTGACTTGAATGGTGACTTAACATTTTGTTTGTCGAGCATGAAGCAATACTACAAAGAGCTGGGTGTTGACCTACTGTTTAATGTTTGTTGCAACATGCCCCATACAGCTATCTAGAAAATGATCAATTTCAGCATTCAGTGGCTCTACAGTATGTGTGGCTACTGTTCAAGATGTGACTTCAGACGAAGACTGAGGTCACTGTACGTGCTAATTACTCAGTGTTTGCCTCCGGCTCTTATGGGCTGTAAAACAAGCAGTAATAATGTTAAAGCAAGGTCACAGCATCTGTTATTAGCACTCTACTATTTGTCCTCCTTTCCCTGTTTTCTTTTTTAGTAGGTATCATTAAGCATTTCAGCCTGTTACATCAGCTTTATTTACGCTACGTCTCCAAGGACTTTAACACAAACCTACCATGACACAGCTAAATCATAAAATAAATGGTTCCAATTTTCTTAAATAAACTAAAAATCTCCATCCATGCTAGCTGCTCGGTGAGGCTATACTCAGGCACGGTGGTGCTTTGAGCCAAAATGCTAATGTCAGCATGCTAACATGCTTACAGTAACAATGCTAACATGCAAAACAAAAACAGAACGTAGCATGCAGATTGTTTGCTAAAAAAACAAAAAAACACCAGTAATGGTTACTATATGGGAGTGTTATTGTAAAAGTGTAATAATGTTGAGTGGCGGTTGCTAATGCTGCAGAGCTGCATGTGTCAGTGTTAAAAAAGCTGTGCTTAGCCTGTTAGCATGCTTATATTTGCCATTTCGTTCTAAAAAAAAACAAAGCACAGCTGCTGCTGATGGGACTATCATTAGTTTTGAAGGTAATTGGTCATAAACTGAAGTATTTAAATAAAAATTCTGAACAGATGAACGTAACTGTTTAGCCCATATGTACCCTACAGTACCAGCAGACTTTATTTATCAAGGAAGACGAGGGAAGATGAATGACAAATGAAATGAAAGAAAACCTTTGTTCGTGCATTGGTTAATCAAAACCCCAAAAAAGGAACTTGTAAAAAACAAAGAAAGTGTATCCTCATGTTTGGGGGAAATCACATTTCAAAATGGGAACTATGGGATATTCAGTGTGACAATTTTTACTGACTAGTCATCTATTTTGACAGAGAGGTATACTATTACTATAACTGTAAAACTATTCTTGGCATTTAACACTTGAGTTATGTTTTGACAAAATGATTCTGCTTTCGACACCAGAGTCTCTCCTCGAACTCGAGGACAATGATTTGGATGCGCTCATGGCGGATTTGGTGGCTGACCTCAGTGCGACTGAAGAGAAACTTGCGGCAGAGATACAAGGTCTGAAGGCGCCATCACCTCCCCCGGGAGACCTGCCACCACCACCTAAAGGCCTGAGCACCCACCCTGCCTCTCCCCACGCTTCATCAGTGAGCAGCAGCGTTAGCACCCCGGCCTCCTCTGCCGCCTCCCCTTTACCACCTCCGCCTCCCCAGGCTGCAAAACCAACAAAGGTGTGTCTGCCTGTGCACAGTTTGTCAGCATGACAAGATAGCAGTATCATGTCTGAAACTACCTTTTAACCTCTCTACTACTGAGAACCGCTCCAAAATTAAAGAAGTGAGATTTTAAGTGGGAGTTTTTAAGGCTTTTTCAGAATAATAGAGAGTGCATTGGTGCACTGTCAAGGAAAGTGTCACAATGACAGAGGACATGCAGGGAAGGAAAAGAGAAAATGTCTGTTCTTTGTTCAGATCCTGAACTATAATCTGGAAGAGCGGAAACATGAAAAAGGCAGAAAAAGGCAATAATGTAACAGTCACAGTTTTATTGGTGGCATGTCTTAGTTTACCATGAGTGAGTGCTTTTCTAAGCCAGTCGTGACAAAACGGTATTGCAACAGAAACATCACCAGTTCCCAGCATATACATTTTCTGGTCGCGTCCTTTGTGTCTCTTTGTGGAACTGGGAAGAGTGGTATTGCTCTTATAACAGCTGGACGGTGAGATCATGTCGAAGCTGTTTCTGGACAGAGGCGTCTGTTACAGTTACATAGACCTGTGTGAGGGGGAAACAGCCGAGAGTCTGTCTGGAACAGATCAAACACGTAACAGGATCAATACCAAAGGTTGGAGTATAGGGGAGGTAAGATGTGGCTGTGGTCGGGGAGGGGGTGGGGGGGCAGACAGGAGCTTATTGCTTTAGCAGAGCTTGTTACCTCATCCCTCTGAGGTAAAAACACCAGCTGTGCTGAGGCAGAGAATGCGTCATTGTCAGGCAGAGGTGTGCGACTTCATTAAAAGTGCACTGTCGGCAGGATTTTTATGTATCGTATCCCCGCTAATTGAGATCCAGTAGATTAGATCTAATTCCACAAATTAAATTCTTGAACGGACGCTTCTCCACCCACGGGAGGGTGTGCAATTAAAAACTAAATCAAAACAAAACACTGCAGCTCCTGAGCAGAAATGAGATGTCACCAGAATTGGATATTTTTGCCCCTGATTTACCTTCAGCACTGTTTTTATCCAAGTAGTAGCTCAAGATTTTCCTGCTTAGATGATTCAGATTGATATCTGTGAAGACATGAACCTGCAGTGAGCGGGCGATTAGCTTAGCTTAGCATAAAGACAGGAATCAGGGGGGGAAACAACTTTTTTTTATCTGTACATTTAATTATATTTGGACAGAGTCAGGCTAGCTGTTTATCCCTGTTCAAGCTTTATGCTAAGCTACGATAATATCTGGCTGTAGCTTTAAATTAAATGTACAGATATCCTTTCTTGGGACTGTTTATATTCCAGGATATACAAGTGTAGCTTTAACACAATGATGATATGATAGTCTGTAACTCACTGACACTAGATTATAACTAACAGATGAATATCTATTATTCACTGTAATTCAGCCGTCTCATTTCCTACTGTTGTTTGTGTTATTCAGGAGGAACTCGACGCACAGATGAAAGCTGACAAGATAAAACTTGCTCTGGAGAAGCTGAAGGAGGCTAAAGTGAAAAAGGTAAGACATCCGCTGGAAACTGTGAAACCTTAAAGACGCTGTGAATTCCGGCTTCATGGACTCCGCTGTAACAGACTTCAAGAGCCGTCAATCATGGTAAAAGATGGCTACTTTCATCCAGCCAACGTCACGCAGGACAGCGCGGTTTCCTCTTTGGGTCCTATGTGGTGACTTTTTTTTATCAGGCTTCAAAGCGACACACAAATGTGCAGACGTGTGGTCACGCATGCAAAGCTCCACTTACACAAAACCAGACCAGCTTCATACCATGCTTTTTTTTTTTTTGTATCATAGGTGATGTGGCCGCCATCTTCTACACTTGACACTGCATTAATGGCCTGTTTTCACCTGCTCGGATAATAGTTGTAAATTCTTAGTAAGAAAACACAGACCGCTGGTCAGTTCCACAGAAACATCTGTCTCTGCGTTGGTGTTAATGCACAGGAGAAGAGCAAGGTGCACTCTCTGTGGTTTCAGCAGAATGCAGTAGTGGTGTGAGGTTTCAGGTAAACCCACTGGTTTTGACACGGATCGCGTTCTTTGACGATATCTACCTTGAAGAGGGAAGCACCGTCAGAGGGAAAACAATTTTGCTCTCCAGTGACATTTCATTCATCCACATGCCAAAACAATATTGTTGTCCAGGGAAGGTCGAGACTGAGTAACGTGTGATCTAACAGTCTAAAACCCCTATTGTGATAACATCTCTTAAAAAAAAAAAAACCCACGTTTTTATGACACAAGGCGAGCGACCGGCCGACCTCGGTTCTGTGAAACTCCTCAGCTTCCCAAAAGCTGGATTTGTTTCCAGATGAGAGGAAGCGTGAAGCCATATGAGCCTGTGAGGAAAGTGCTGCTCCGCTCCAGAGCAAAATTAGTCTCAGACTGCAAAAAGAAAAAAAAGAAAAGACAAATACAATTGAGAAAAAGCCAAAGAAGTTCATCAGAACGGAGAGACAGAAGTGCTGATGCTCGACCTCCTCTGGTGGAGAAAACATTAGGAGACAGAAACAGCCATTTAGTGTATGTGGCCTGTAATTAAACTGGCAAACAAACGACCTGCATGGGCTTCTTCGAGGCTGGATTTGACGTCTCTCTCCCTCATTTCAATCCGTCATGCGGACGCAACACTTTAAGGAATAGTTTGACATTTATTCAAGACACGCGTACTCGCTCTCTTTTGCTGACGGTGAGATGCGAAGATTAGCGATTAGCTTAGCGCAAAAACTGGAAATGAGGAAACGGCTAGTGTAGCTGTGTCCATGAGTTTTCTCTTGTTGGAATATGAACAATTTTTATTTTGTCTTGTTGTGAGAGAAAATACAGCCAAAAAATAACAATGCAAAGTAAAATAAAGTGGCATTTTCATTTTTGCAGTTGGTGGTGAAGGTGGTAATGAACGACGGCAGTTCCAAAACTCTGATGGTGGACGAGAGGCAGAACGTCAGGGAGGTTTTGGACAACCTGTTTGAGAAGACTCACTGCGACTGCAATGTGAACTGGAGCCTGTGTGAGACCAACCCCGAACTGCAGCTCGGTGAGTTACTGCAGGGAGATTTAACAACATGCACTGTAGCATGTGGTGGATTCATTCATTCAAGCGTGGCGTTATGACTGCGTTTGTAACCTGGGAGGTAACAGTAGCACACGCACACACATACACACACACACACACACACACACACAGGCAGGAGGAGGAGGAGGAGGGTTTATGACTGATGATTAACTGATCAGCAATCGCCATTGCTTTTAATGCACTGCCACCGGTTGATGTAGAGGTTCAGTCTGTGGTTAAGTGTTTTCAGGTGAAAATAACATTTTAAAAGAAGTCATCTGGTGCACGGAAAAAATGATGCATGTTACATTTCCAGGACTAGCTTGGAATAAAACTGCTTACATTTCACTGACAGACAACACACAGATAAAGATGTCAGGTGACACCGCTTTTGTTGGCAAGTGATTCTGGGTAATGTAGTGCAGGAACAGCGCGGCGATAAGCACGAGCTGAGCGGCAAATATATCAACAAGAGCAGAAGAAAACACAGCGGTGGTAGATTACCACTTCAACAACAGTGTGTTTTTTATATGAACTGACACACACACACACACACACACACACACACATTGTACAGTGTGGGATATTTCATCCTGGTCCAGATGATGGACTGTGTTTTTATTGGCACGGTGGCAGCCACACTGCAGCGAGCTCACAATGAAACATTGATCTTACTCCCATTCATTCTCTCTCCCTTCCTCCTCTCTTTCCTATAGTCTCTCTCTCTCTCTCTCTCTCTCTCTGTCTCTTCCACACACATACAGTGTAGACAGGTGGGTTTAATTTGTTGTATTGGACACTGTCAGTCATCCTCCCTGTCATGCGGAAATAGGAGCCTTATGATCTCAATCCCCCGTCTGAGCAGTCTGCGCTATATTCAGCTGCTGGACGTTGCCGCCGTCAGAGTCTCCAGCCGTTCATTACCATCTGTTTTTCTCTGTTTTCTAACAACTTCATCAGATTGTTCCGGAGATCATTTATATTTTTAAAGAGCCAATCTTTATACGCTGCGAACAGGGAGCCATTGTGCTCCGTCGTGAAACCCTTTTAATGAAATACTGGTGGTAAAATCATTAACCTTTGGCGAGCAATAAAATCTAAGTCGATATTGTTTTGCTTGAAAATCACATTCAAGTAATTTTATATGCAGCTAGTTAAGCTGTGACACGCTAAATTAAATAATAAGCCTGGATGATTGTTTTTTCTTTTTATTATTATTATTATTTTCATTTTGCAAAGCTTCCCTGCCCTGTCTGTGGCACTCCTCCCTAAGTCCATTCATTCCTTCATTCATTCATTCAATCTTTATAAGCTGGTCACAATTTTACAGATGTTTGCTCAAAAAAAAAAAAAAAACATCTGGGAACTGTAGTTTTTTTCCAAGTGTCGCTAGAGCAGGAGGAAATAGTGCGTTTGTTGGGGACTATTTTCAATAAGATTTTCTGATCACTATGTTGATTTATTTATTGAATTCGCTCTTTTACTGTCTGGCTTATGAAATGATCTGCTGGTAAAGAGGATTTATCTCTGCTGCCAGCACAAAAACAAATGAGGAAATGTGCATTTCCCTTTGGTTTATTTTTAACCACATTAAATTAGCTGTCTGAGCCACAGCAAGCCACTTTTTCTGTGATGGCTATTTGACTCAAAGGCACGGGAGTCTTGTGTCATCTCTTACTAACCGGGCAGCATGACAGCTCAACAATGGAAACTGTGTGAGTTCGTTAATTTTTTATAATGCGTTGTAAACCCCCCAGAGTGTGTTATAATCTAATTACTATAACATTTTATCCTATGTTTAATCTTTATCCATAAAAAAAAAAAAAATGAATGCTGTGCTATGCGCAGTAAACACCCATGGAGCTCAACGGCATCACCGGCTTCGAACAAAGTGAAACTCACCTCATGTGCATCCACAGTGCCGGAACACACCATGTAGTTAATGCAGTTCAAAGGGATTTCTACTTGTAATAACTCACTCCAGCAGCAAAGTCTCACCATCCATTTAATGATTGTAATAGTCAAACTATAGACTGGAACCCTGGCAGCAATTTATTTAATGTCTACCTCTGCCTCGGCTGGTAACCTGTAATTGGGGAGCATGGCTAAACTACAGTCAAATGCCCAGTACATGATGGAGATCTATGGCAGCGAGTGTGTGGGTGGGCAGAGAGGAGGAGGAGGAGGAGGAAAGTGCTCTTAATGTGTTTTCGAGCATTAGTGCCATTTAAAGTTCTTCCAGCAAACGTGGAGGGTTGTATTTTATCGAGCCCCTTCCTTAATTCAGCCCATTTGAAATAGACAATTGCCCAGCTGTGAAGCCGACTCTGAACCGAGCTCAGCCGATGTTAAGATTTCGTGGCAGGCAGAGCGAACTACTGTGCACATGGTAAAGCATTTGTTTTGGCTTGTTTTATTGTACGAAACTAAAACAGAGGGGGACATGGGAAATATAAAGTGAGATTAAAGAGTTAGTAGATTCTGGTTTAAAATAGTAATGTACTGTAGAAAGTCAACTGGAGGTGTTTTTTTAATCTTCCACAGCCAGACTATTGGCAGGAGAGTTTGAATGTGCTGAGAAATTATTTTTATGGCCGATATAAGAGGGACAAAGTAAGCAAATACAGAGCTACTTCACTTGAGTATTTCCATTTTATACAATTTTTTTTACAGCTACTCCACAATTTCCAGACCGCACTCGCCACAAAAATTACTCCACTGGTCGTTTTCTTTCTTTGTGTGTTGTGTTGTTTTTTGTTGTGTTGTTTTTTTTTTTATTGTATTAATAATTGTTCCGCTCATGATCATGGATATGATAACTGTTGTCTCTCAGAAAAGCAGAACTATAGCTTAACTGCAGTTCCCCTATCATGAAATTGTTGTAGTTGCAGTAGAGTTGGCCTGTTGCTGGAGATGCTGAACCGTCACAAACCAAACCATCAGATCAGAAAATGTTTATTTGAATTGTTTACGTTATGGACATTTTAATGCATCAACCAAAGACGTGTTTTGTTGTGCAGGGATGAGGACTGATGATGATCACTGGTTACTTTACACAAAACATATGATACACTCATAATAAATGATGTAACACAACCACCCAAGGCTACATATAATAATATATTGACATTCGATATTAAAATACAGCTTACACTTTAACTTATAAACAATTTAATACTAATAAAAAAGGGAAATTCTACACGAGGACTTTTTCTTTGATACTTAAAAACAGCAGGCTGCCAACAACTGTGTATTTTCAAGCTAATAAAACGAGTGGAGGAGTTTTACTTGTGCCATGGGTTTATATCAAGCCGATGGACATCTGGGCACACACTCATAACAGGCCCTCCCCCCCCGACTAGCAGCTGTATCATGGATGGAAAAAATGAACAAAAGTCAAATAAATATAAGTATCATATTGAATACATTTTCCTACAAACCAAAACTTACATGAAAGTTACGAGTTTGCTGACATCTAAGTTTGATTTTCTTTTTTTGCAGAACGGACGTTTGAAGATCACGAGAACCTTGTGGAGCCACTGTTGGCGTGGTTGAGGGACAGCGAGAACAAAGTCCTCTTCAAAGAGCGGGGACAAAAATACGAGGTTTTCAAAAACCCACAGGTGAGTCCCCTCACTGTGCGTCGACACACGTTGGCTTTATTTCTCTAAATAAAGCCTATACACTGAGCAATCAGAGGTGATGTGTGTGTGATATCTCAAAAGTCCAAAACTGGCTAGTTCATTATTCTTGGCCTTGGTTTGTGCAAATCTATCTCCACATTGTTTCAGCTCAGCGCCATCTGGATATTTTCACTGCTGAATTGTTGTCTGAATTATGAGATGTCTTTGCTCCATGCAGGATGACCTCTTACATTAATGTTCTCACTGTAATATATCAGACAAAACAGCTTCAGGCGAAAGACGGCGAGATCTTGGCATGTTTGTTGATATAATGGAACCCCTTATAATCTCAGAGTATTTAATGGATTCGGTCTGTTGGCAGAGGCAAATAGTCGGGTTGGAAAACTGGTGAGATATTCTCATTTTTAAAGTACTCCATCATGTCTCCCACGTCCCACAACAAAAAACAGATCTGTTCTGTCCAGTACGTCCCTATCAATTTACAGCTTTAACTTTTGACATGAGCTACCAGAATAGAATTCCCTTTTGGGCGTTCTCGTACCACAATGAAAACATTAAGGCCCAGACCATGATATGTAGTTAAAACACCCCAGTCACACGGGGACAAACAGTTGGGTTTGGGGTTTTGTTAAGGAGATAGTTGCTGACATTTTTTTTTATACAAAAATCCTAAAAATTTAAATGTTCAGTGTTTGATTCTTGATGTGCAAGACGAAGAGTCTACAGCCACGCAAGAGGTTCTGTGACTGCACTTAAGACACAGCTGCGCTTTGAGCTAAATGCTAAAGTTAACGTGCTACTGTAACATGTTCAAAATAACATGCTAACATCCTGATATATTGCAGGTAAAAGGTGGTTACCATCTTAGTGTAGCCTAGCGTGATCATCAAAGTTATTACAATTCATGCTGATGGGGGATATGAATGTGTGTATCAGATTTCATGAAAAGCTATCCAGTAGTTAGCAGTTGCTGGAGTCATGTCACTAACACGGCTACAAATTGCTACTGGTAATCATTAATGCACTCTTATGTTTTATTCCTGCAGAACTTTTATCTATGGAAGAAGGATAAGAAAGCTCTCAAAGAAATAAAAGGCAAAGACAAGGAGATTTTAATACAGGTAAATTACATGCACACACACACATGCACACAAACCCACAGGTGAAGTAGCTTCTTTAAAGTGAAAGTTGACCGACCCCTTTCATCTCTTCTTCACCACCTCTGCAGGAGAACTTCTGCGGGACTTCCATCATCGTGCCCGATCTTGAGGGGGTGCTGCACCTCAAGGAGGACGGCAAGAAGTCCTGGAAGCAGCGGCTCTTCCAGCTGAGAGCCTCGGGAATTTATTATGTGCCCAAAGGGAAGACCAAGGTCAGGGTTCAAAAGAGGGGACGTCGTTCGCCGCTAACACCAGCAGCTAGTTCTCTAATCAGGGATACACTCTCAATTGTGCTTGAGCACGTACATGAAAGATGTAAAATCCTGAAGGTTTAGAAATGTTTTTGCAATGTCAGCTGAAACCCTAATGAAATGTATGGTCCGTTTTTTAATTTTTCACTTGGACTACAAAGTTCTAGTTTGTTGCATTTCTGCGTTATCAACCATACTCTTGTTTCATGCACTGCTCAATATAACTAGAGCTTTTACTCCCTGCTGGATACCTACAGTATATTCACTTACCGTATATCTTAGATCTCTTGGCAGCTTCTACTCCCGTACATACCTTTCATACAGTACATTATGAACATCTACTGCATCTGTAGTGAAGATATTCAATTCAGTGGGCACAAAAAAAAAAAAACAAGAGATAAAGTCGTAATGTAATCCTCTTTTATTTCTTTTCAGTCATCCCGTGACCTCGTGTGCTTCCTCCAGTTCGACAATGTAAATGTCTACTATGGCAAAGACTTTAAGAGCAAATACAAGGCCCCAACTGACTTCTGCTTTGTTCTGAAGGTAAGCTCAAAATACCGTATGTTGTTTTATCAGTCGGGTTCTCGAAGCCACATTCCCTTTTTGCTGTGAAATTAATCGACAAAGAAGCTGCAACTTCCCTTAACTGTGACATCGGACACATTTACACATTTAGTGTTAGGTTTCACTGGTCCGTGCTACGAGGCCTGTCTTACACAGTATGTTACATGGGGCAAAAGATATTAATGCATTGCATGGTGGCTTCTGGTGAAGTCTATGGTCGACTAAACAGCTGCTTACTTTACTGGAAAAGTGAACTGCAATAAATAGTTTAGTTTGAAGAAGTGAGAGGACACAGTTTTAACCAATTTAGCTGAAGATGGTGAGAAAGAAAGCGAACGAGACGACTTTTTTAAAGCATTTCCTAACGTTTCTTTAAAGGAAATTACCGTAAAAGCACCATGCTTTTAATTAAAAGAGTACTTTAAAATCGAGGACATTAACATTGATGGGAGGTGCCCACAGTACTCATTTAAGAGTGAGAAATGCTGACGTGAAAATAGAAAGAAGTAGATGAGTTGGTGGTCAAGTCTTACAGGGATGTGAAAGTCTACGTTCTTTCTTTTCCCCTATCTTGTCTGGGAAACACTAGAATCAGCAGATACCATTAGAATAGATGGGGAGGATCAAAGTGAAAAGAGCTTAGAGAGGCAAAGAAACTGAATTACCTACCAGTGAAAGACAGTGTCCTCAAGGTTTGAGTTGAAGTCTGTGTGTGTGTGTGTGCGTGTGCGTGTGTGGTGCTGTTTGTCCAAGGGCAAAGGAAAATGGCCTGTCAGAGTGGACATGTCGAAAGTCTATCTGGGTTTCATGTGGTTCCTCTTCCCGCTCTTTGAGGCGTCATATAGTAAAACGTGTTATAAAGCTGCCCCAGTTGTGGTAGATAGTATGAAGATGATGATATTATAATGGCTGATGCCGTGCGTAGCTGCAAAAGTGTTCAATTAGGGAGTGTTGTCAGACTTCAGTGGGTGGCGTGTAAGAGCTGCCAAAAAACTGCAGCAACTCAAGGAAGACAGCAAAACAATTTAGCGTCATCATTCAGCAGTTAGACTGTATTTTCAGAGGAGCTGCCGGAGGTGATCGCTAATACCGTCCTCATTATGGACAACTGATATCATGACATTATCTGGGACATTTAGCTTCTTCTTCTTCTTCAGGGGGAAACGATTGAGTCGAGAGACCTCCAGAGCACTCACTGTACAACAACTGTTTCTGTTATCAGTAAGATTCAGAGTGACAACATTTTCCAGGATTAAAAAACAACAACAAAGAAAAAGTCAAACTTCTCATCTGTCCCCCATTTAAACAAGATAACGGTGAAACCTCAAGATACAATTGTTTGAAATCTAGTTTTTTCTGCTCTTTGCTTTTCATTTTCTGTGTGTGTTCACAAATGCAAATTGGATTATCCCAAATAATAATCTAAAATCCGTTTAACTGATGTTGCTCTTTAACACTCTGATTCTAGACTCACTCTGCCCCCTTGTGGCACCCTGTGATATCTTTAAGGTCGCCACTGCATCTAATAGAAAACACCGATTCATCCCGATTCCTGAGTTAATTAAGGCCCTTTGGCAGAGTCTTTTTTTTTCACTACTCTAATGAAATACAATAAAATACAGTTTGGACAACAGCTGCCCAAAAAATAGCACATTTAATGTGAGCTATACTACAGTTAATCTGCTCATTTTCTGGATTGTTTGGTCCTTAAAATGTCAGAAAAATAGATTAAAATGGCCGCCTGCTAGACTGTCACTAATTCCTAAAACCCAAGGTGACATCTTTAAATGGCTTGTTTTGTTAAACTGACTGTCCACAACCCAAAGATATTCAGTTTACCATCACATAAGATGCCGAGGAGCAGAACATCCTCACAGCCAGCCATGCGAATCTTGAGTTCTGCTGTTTTAAGGAACAAAAAAAATAGTGTTTCTTCTTCACTGGTCTCACCATATTTATCATGTGGGTTTGTCTCTATAGCATCCTCAGATCCAGAAGGAGTCTCAGTACATCAAGTACCTGTGCTGCGACGACGCTTGGGCCATGAATCTTTGGGTGACCGGAATACGGATCGCAAAGGTAGATTTGAGCAACGCTGTTTTAAATAACACAAAATACAGTCTCCACTAAACCAGAAGACGTGAGGTCATGCTCTGTGGTGTGTTTCCTACACTTCCAGTACGGTGCGTTGTTGTATGAAAACTATAAAACTGCTGAGAAGAAGGCAGCTGTCACCTCTGTGTGGACGAACCGCAGCACTCCATCAAGCTCCAATCCATCAACGCCCTCACCAACTGTCAAAGGTAGCACGGCACACGATCTGTCTTTACTCAGTGAAGTGAAACAAGCCAGACGTAGTGGTATTAGTCCGAACCTTTTCCCTTGTACTGTTCGATCACTCATCGTGTTTTTCCTCCTCTAGCCAAATCACAGAACCAGGCAAACGGTCACGCTTCCAGTCCTCAACCCAGACCTGTCTCCAGGGTAAACAACTCTTCATTATCAGTGAATCTGTTCAATTATTGAGTCATAAAATGTGAAAATAGTGATAAAATTCCTCAATGATCCTTTTTTGCATTCATGCAGACGGCGGCTTATATTCAAATATATTCAACTTTCAATCATATAACATGGACAGCTGCAACAAATTCAGTAGCATTTCATTTTAAGGCTCCTACCGTTTCCTGTAATTGTCTAGAAAGGAACTGATTTTTAACTGTGAATAGAAGGAAAGAAGTGATTATGTAATTTGCTAGTCACTGCTCATTTTGTTCACTGCTACATAATTGCTTTCCTTTTAGTCAGTGAACAGATCATTCAGCCGTTCAGTCGATCCACTAGTTGTTCCAGATTCTTTAGGATCAGCTTGTGGATTTTGTTGCATCACTATTTTCTATTCTGTCTTCTCAGGACTTTGGAAATGTCCAATTTCCACCTCCACCCCCACCGTTAGCGGAGATTCTCCCGCCACCACCTCCAGACCCAGTATTCCCTCCTCCGCCGCCTCCTTCGGCTGCCAAGAGTTCCTTGAAACCTACCCTGCCCCAGCAACACCTGCCAGCCAACTTCCCTCCGCCTCCACCTGCAATGGACAACCTCCCTCCTCCGCCAATGCCTCCACCCATGGATGACTCCTCAGAGGCCCCACCGGACTTCCTTCCGCCGCCTCCTCCGGCCGCGGGCTTTGGTTCGCTGCCACCTCCTCCGCTGTCGGTGAACTCTCTGCCACCGCCGCCCCCTTGTTTCGGGGGTACGGACCAGTCTCTGCCTCCTCCACCGCCGGATCCAGTGTTTTTACCACCTCCTCCACCTCAGCCAATGTTCACAGGGGCTGGCGCTCCCCCTCCACCTCCACCGCCTCCCCCACCTGCTGCTCCTGCCGCCCCTAGGGCACCGCTGCAGCCCTCTGGATCGTTGAGGAAGGCGCCTCCTGCTCCACCAAAGAGGACTACACCGTCGCTTCAAGGAGGAGGTGGAGGAGGAGATGGTGGCGACTTCATGTCAGAACTGATGCGAGCCATGCAAAAGAAACGCAGTGATAACTAGACTGAATTGTGAGGAGTAGTACAATGCACTCATCATCACATCCACAGCCGTACGCAGAGCTGGACGATACGACAAATCAAAATCACAGTTATTTCAAATTTTTTTACGATTTATGAACGATTATTATGGCGCTTATTGGTCTCTCTTCATATTTGGCAATATGATTTTGCCCCAAGTGATTAAACAAATTGGTGGTGTTACCTTTGATCGCTATCGATGTTGCACTCACCACTGTCTGGTAGTCGTTACAGATAAAACCCAATCAGGATGTGAGGCAGGTGTCTGCATCATTGTTTCCAAAAGTCTCAGTTTCTGCCCGCCCAGACTACAGCGCGATTAACCCCCCCCGAGTTTTCAAACTAAAACAGGGCCACGTAGCAAAATGTGGATGTAGCCTGAGGCTCAGTGTTTGCGCTCGCGTGATCCATATCACCAGCTTCACTTTGAGTCAATGTGGACTAACGTTAGTTGGACAGGGCGGAGGCACGTGAGTGAGCACGAGGTAGATGGCTCATGAATGCACGCGTTTGGACAAAGAATTAACCGTAGACTATATATAAAGATGCACGTAGCGTCTGTTACATTACCCATAGGCTTCTGAAGAGCGGATTTTTGCAGCTCACAATGAGCTGCCCCGCCGTCGGCCTCTTGGCAGTGCCTGACTCTGCAGGGATAATCTGAAGATGGGCACAGAGGTGGGGCGTGGAGACTCGCTGCATGCTGGTTTAATAACTAGCAAGCATCGTTCACACAGATGGACATGTGGGTGTCTTTTTCGAATGCTAACCCAAAGCTAATTCATTCAAATTTCATCAAATCTTAAAGTTATGCATAATTGAGCGCGTGGCTGCTAGATTTTTCATGTAAATATCAGACATATGGTGTCATGAAGGGGGGAAATTAGCTGTAGACACCAAAACTGTTTTGTACCAGGCTGTAAACATGTTTATTTCTGCTGTAAAGTTGGACATTTTAACATGGGAGTCTGTGGGGATTGACTCACTTTTTGAGCCAGCCTCTCGTGGCCATTATAGGAACTGCAGTTTTTAACCATTTAACCATTACATAACCATGCCTGACTGGTTTTGTAGTGTTGTTGTTGTAAACTTGAGCTCACAGACATTGGTGACTGCCACAATTTGATGTAAGAAAATGTACTGCAAATGTACTTTTTTTTTTATGACATGAAAAAAATAATATTGTAATCGTACTTCAGAGAGATTTTTTTTTTAATGAATTGTAAATATATTGCCAAGTCTGCTGGGAGAACTGTAAATATGATCAAATACTGTCCTGCATATTCTAGTCGCTGAAGTTTTCTAGTTACTGTACTGTTACCTGAATAAAATCTGTTGAATTAGAGGGCGTTCCTCCCGTCAGTGAGTACAACCTGCTGCTATTGGCTGTATAGAAATACATGATGTATGACATACATCCATCTAAAAGCAACAAACCTCACTGGAAAAAGTTTCATTATCAGTCGATGTAACACCTCAAAGATGCTGTTAAACTGCATGTAAATAGAGTGAAACAATATAATACTGTATATGAACTTGGCTGTATATAAAAGCAACAGGACAGTTTCTCAAAAGCAACATCTTTGTCTTTCTTTTGGTGTCAGATAAGAATTAACAAGATGTGTGAAAGTATTTAGCTGCCAAGAAGGCAAAGACAATTTTATGAGCAAAAGATAATCTAATTTATGTGTCCAAACAGCCATGACCTTAATGTTTGGAGCAAATATATTCCATCAGCATGACCGGATTAAACTAATTTTACTACAAAAGATCAGATAAATAGTAATTTTGCTCTATCCAGGGCTCACTCACAAAGAACAGCTGACCTTTAACCTCTGAGCTCATAGCTGCATAGCCCGCCCCCTCTGCAGTCTCTTGTGTAACAAAGGGAGTGGACAGGATATGGTGCAGCAGCTCCACCTAGTGGGAGAAAAATGTCACAGCTTTTCACAGAGAAGCAATGGTCACTTTTTTTTTTTACACAATTTACCAGACCCACACCTCAAAAGTCACACTGCCACCCAGTTCCTCAGCACACATCTAGGCTTTACATCTGTAAGATATTTTACACAATCTTCCTGTTTTTCTCAAGTTTCAATATCATTACATAACAGAACATTTAAAAGTGAATTCCTTATGTGTGTATGTAGCGATCTTCAACATTAATGTGTAGCTTTAGTGGCTGGCTTTTCATTCTGTTTTTGACAATCCAAGTCGGGATCATTTTGTTATCTGGGAGAACTTTGGTTACCAAACATGGTCTGACATCTTTTTGCTCACCTGCTGACCTTAGTGGAGGTACATACTGAACCACTCAGAGAAGTGCTTGTGCAATGATAAGTCATCAAAAATCATTAAAAACATGCCTCCAAATACATTGGCTTTGTGTGATTGTGTGAAACTGTAATTTCCCTTTGATATAAATAAAGGTAATAATCTGAAACTGTGTCATATAAATGTCTTTGGTGTCCTTGAGGTGCAACGGAGCGATGGCACCAACTATCTAAAAAAAGAAATGTAACAGTTCACCCCATTTGTGAAGTTCCCGAGCTGTCTGAAGGTCACGGTGAAGTCTGACTTCTGGATCAGTGTGAAAGAGGTACAGATCCTAATGGCAGTCTGCCACCACTGGTATAATACAGGAAGTCCTCTGACTGCATTAAAGTCATTACAATTTCTCATATTTTATAGTGAAATTTGTGATGCTGTAAATGATGTCACATTTCCACTTCAGAAACTGCAGCCAGCCTCAATGGTCCTTTCAGTGGGGTTGGAATGGATTTGGAAAATCGACCTCAGTGATTGGGAATGATTCTAGAGAGAGGACATGAAATGTGAAATTATTTCGGTTCTGAATTCTTTATATTGACAATTTAAGATATTTTTATGGCTTAATATACCATAACATTTTAATACCTTATTATACTGTGACTTTTTTTTGATGTTTTTATTCCTTACTATTCTATCACATTTTTATGCCTTACTATACTATGACGTTTTTTTTACTTTCCATTTGCCTTATTATACTGTGACAATTTCATGCCATACTATACTACGTCGTTTTTGAGAATTTTATGCCATACTATACTATGACGTTTTTGACATTTTCATGCCTTACAAAGTTTTTGAGAATTTTATGCCTTATGACGTTTTTTGACATTTCTATGCCTCAATACACTATGATGGTTTCATTTCTTACCATACTTTGATTTCCTGATGATTAAATATATGACGAAACAAGGAGAGACACAATAGTATAATGGTTAGAACTGATGCTTCATAATAAGAAGGTTGAGAGTTCAAATCTCAGTGTTTGCACTTTTTTTTTTTTGCCATATTAAACTATGTCGTTTTTTCACGTTTTTTGCCATACTATACTATGTTGTTTTTCTTGCTTTTAGGGCCTTATCATATCATTACGTCTTCATACCTTCCCAAGTTATGACATTTTCTGATAGTATTATGCTTTATTATACTTTGTAATTTTTTCGATTTTTTTGCCATACTATACTATGTCGTTTTTTCACGTTTTTTGCCATACTATACTATGTTGTTTTTCTTGTTTTTAGGGCCTTATTATATCATTACGTCTTCATACCTTCCCAAGTTATGACGTTTTCTGATAGTATTATGCTTTATTATACTTTGTAATTTTTTCGATTTTTTTGCCATACTATACTATGTTGTTTTTCTTGCTTTTAGGGCCTTATTATATCATTACGTCTTCATACCTTCCCAAATTATGACACTTTCTGATGGTTTTATGCTTTATTATACTTTGTCATTTTTTCAATTTTTTTGCCATACTATACTATGTCGTTTTTTCACGTTTTTTGCCATACTATACTATGTTGTTTTTCTTGCTTTTAGGGCCTTATTATATCATTACGTCTTCATACCTTCCCAAATTATGACGTTTTCTGATAGTATTATGCTTTATTATACTTTGTCATTTTTTCGATTTTTTTGCCATACTATACTATGCCGTTTTTTCACGTTTTTTGCCATACTATACTATGTTGTTTTTCTTGCTTTTAGGGCCTTANTATGTCATTTTTTTTGCTTTTAGAGCCTTATTATACCATGAACTCTGAATACCTTGCTCTACTGTGACGGTTTCTGATGGTTTTATGCTTTATTATATTTTGTCATTTTTTCAGTTTTTTTGCCATACTATACTATGTCGTTTTTTCACATTTTTTGCCATACTATACTATGTTGTTTTTTTTGCTTTTAGGGCCTTATTATACCATGACGTCTTCATACCTTGCCATACTATGACGGTTTCTGATGGTTTTATGCTTTATTATATTTTGTCATTTTTTCAGTTTTTTTGCCATACTATACTATGTCGTTTTTTGCCATACTATACTATGTTGTTTTTCTTGCTTTTAGGGCCTTATTATATCATTACGTCTTCATACCTTCCCAAATTATGACACTTTCTGATAGTTTTATGCTTTATTATACTTTGTCATTTTTTCAATTTTTTTGCCATACTATACTATGTCGTTTTTTGCCATACTATACTATGTTGTTTTTCTTGCTTTTAGGGCCTTATTATATCATTACGTCTTCATACTTTCCCAAATTATGACATTTTCTGATAGTATTATGCTTTATTATACTTTGTCATTTTTTCGATTTTTTTTGCCATACTATACTATGTCGGTTTTTGACATTTTTTGCCATACTATACTATGTTGTTTTTCTTGCTTTTAGGGCCTTATTATATCATTACATCTTCATACCTTCCCAAATTATGACGTTTTCTGATAGTATTATGCTTTATTATACTTTATAATTTTTTTCGATGTTTTTGCCATACTATACTATATCGTTTTTTTCACGTTTTTTGCCATACTATACTATGTTGTTTTTCTTTCTTTTAGGGCCTTATTATATCATTACGTCTTCATACCTTCCCAAATTATGACGTTTTCTGATAGTATTATGCTCTATTATACTTTGTCATTTTGTCAATTTTTTTGCCATACTATACTATGTCGTTTTTTCACGTTTTTTGCTATACTATACGATGTCGTTTTTTTCACTTTTGGAGCTTTATTATATCATTACGTCTTCATACCTTCCCAAATTATGACGTTTTCTGATAGTATTATGCTCTATTATCCTTTGTCATTTTGTCAATTTTTTTGCCATACTATACGATGTCGTTTTTTCACGTTTTTTGCCATACTATACTATGTTGTTTTTCTTGCTTTTAGGGCCTTATTATATCATTACGTCTTCATATCTTCCCAAATTATGACACTTTCTGATGGTTTTATGCTTTATTATACTTTGTCATTTTTTCAATATTTTTGCCATACTATACTATGCCGTTTTTTCACATTTTTTGCCATACTATACTATGTTGTTTTTCTTGCTTTTAGGGCCTTATTATATCATTACGTCTTCATACCTTGCCATATTATGACGGTTTCTGATGGTTTTATGCTTTATTATATTTTGTCATTTTTTCAGTTTTTTGCCATACTATACTATGTCGTTTTTTCACGTTTTTTGCCATACTATACTATGTCATTTTTTTTGCTTTAAAGGCCTTATTATACCATGACGTTTTAATACCCTGCGATAATATGATGTTTTCTGATGGTTTTATGCTTTATTATACTTTGTCATTTTTTAAAATTTATTGCCATACTATACTATGTCGTTTTTTTCACGTTTTTTGTCATACTATCCTATGTCGTTGTTTTCACTTTTAGGGGCCTTACTATGCTATGACGTCTTCATATTTTACTATACTATGAGATTTTTCTATGTTTTCATGCCTTTCTATACTATGACCTTTTTTGCCTACATAACATTTTCCGTAGCATCTTCCTAGAC